TGCATTAAACACGTTGATTCTGACCAATATTATTAGTATAATTAACGTATATATTTATTCAAAATTATACGTACTTATTAAATCTGTCTTCAACCATTTTTTTTTGGTATTAACGTTGTTTATTAGTAAAATTTAAATTAAAAAAAAGCTATGTAGAGTGAAAAAAAACTAATTTTTTTTAATTAACTAACTTCTTCAAAACAAGTATATGACGAATATTAAAAAACGAGAATATAAAATATAACAAACAGAAACGACTAAGCTTTGTTAAAAAAAAACAAAATCCTAAAAAATATAACCCTAATACAGTGTTAACTAGTAAAAGCACTTTTAAATTTCACGAATAATAATTTCACGAATAATAATAAACACAAATAAAGTAAAATTTCTAAGGAAAATACTTGAGAACATAAATGCAAGAAAAAATGTGTCTAAACAATATTTTTAGTTAACGTTTCGCTGTAGAGCATCATCTCGACGTTTTTTTGCAAATTTTAACCAGTCTTTTGTGGCATTTGAAATCTGCAATTCATTTGCTGAAGGGTATGCTTTTTTCACAGCTTCTAAAAAGTAAAAATGTAAAACTACAATTAAACTAAATATTGAAAAGCGTAACTATATGTACTATATATAGTTTTCATGATCAACCTATCTTCAAATTTCTTTTTTTCTCTTCCTTTCCAATTAAATAACATAGCTAGTTCATTGTGAAGCAAGAATCGCAAACATCTTCTTGTGAGGTCTTCAGCAGAGTTTCCTCCAATTGATGCTAGTCTTATTACCTGAAAACCATCTCAAATTAACCCATAATAGTAAGTTGAGCATATATTTTTTTTTATTTACGTACATAAGTACAGTGAGGGGGCACCAAAATTTTATGCAATTAGGGTAGCCTATGAACATAAATCGAATGCAGTAATCAATCTACTGTAGATTGATTCATTTTAACTATTTATGTTTTGAATTGACTAATATAATAACTGTACTGACAAATAATTAAAATGAATCTCTCTATACGACATTCGATTTATTTTCACAGTCTATCCAAATTGTACTAGATTTTACTATCCACTAATGTAAACTAAAGTAATAAAATTTGTGTATACGAGTAGTGCAACAAGTATCAAAAATTATTTATAAAACAAAAACAACTACCATAAACTTTTCATTATTCGTGTAGTGAAACCACATTTGGAGAGAACGGCAGCTTTATTGGCGAACAAGTGTACGCAGTACAACCATTAACTTGAGGAGAACTACACTTTGCAATTGCTTACTGATCAGTTGACTTGCATTAACTCTCTAACTTTCAATCACTAACCAACCCCAAATGGTTTACATGGACGCCAACGCCGAACTCTGTCCTCCCCTTTGCGCACGCGCGTTTTATATAATTTACAATGTGTTTATAATTTGCTATGCAACAAACATTTGCAACCGTAAACTAAAACTCTAACAACCCTGTCAATTATCATTCTCTCAACTATCCACTAACTACCGCAGCTTTACCAACCTAATTCCTCTTGACTGTATCAGTCATGTTGGCAGTTGTCCTATTTGACAAATCCCAACATCCTCCGGCCGGGGAAAGTGGTGTATGTTCCTTACCAAACGCTTTACCTCAGAAAAGGAACCGTTTACGCAATAATAGTTAACAATTACCGACCCAGTGGTTCGATAGCGTGCGACCTTTAACTGACGGAGAGAACGAAACAAAAATTATACCAATAGTGCAAACTCTAAAATTAAACCCTTTTCTACTACTATAACTATTACTTATAACCCGAAGTAAGTTAGTCCTACCCTAGTTAGTTGATTCAAGTAGCGGACAGATTTTTGTTATCGGCCGTATTATCTCCTCTCTAACAGTCTTAATTTGTACTGCCCTAGCTCGACCATCTGACCCGACTATCACCTTGGTCACTCTACCTCTTGGCCAGTGCAGTGGCGGAACGGCATCCTCCTTTATTAAGACCAGCTCATTTACCTCTAGCTCCCGTTTTGGGACCAGCCATTTTGGTCTATGCTGCAACCTGCTTAAATACTCCATTGACCACCGTTTCCAAAATTGCTGTTGAAGTTGACAACACCTCTTCCACACATCTAACCGATTCTCCTTTTTTAAAGACACGTCTACTTCAGGGATCGCTGTTAGACTTTGTCCAATCAAAAAATGTCCTGGAGTTAGACATTCGAGATCAGCAGGATCATTGGACAGCGGACTTAATGGACGTGAATTCAAAATTGCCTCAATCTGCGTTAGCACTGTGGACAGCTCCTCAAACGTTAAACACGCCGTGCCTATAACCCGCGCTAACTGTGATTTTGTACTTTTTATAGCTGCTTCCCATATTCCACCCCAATGAGGACTGTGCGGAGGAATGAATTTCCACGTGATGCCTTTCTTACCTACAAACTTTACAATGCTATTCGTGTTTGCTTGATTTTGTAAAAACGTGTATAATTCGTGTAATTTGTTTTTGGCTTCTACGAAGTTCATTCCGTTATCGCTATATACGATGGACGGATTTCCCCGCCGCGAAATAAACCTTTTAAATGCACACAAAAATGCCTTTCTTTTAATTACTTCTGAACAGTACTCTAATCCTTCAGGAGGCAAGATAGCAAAAATATCAGCAACTGGATTCCACGAAACCCCTAACACTTTTTTCCAACAAATCCCTACATCAAATTCATGCACCTTAACACTATCTTTTGCATACAATTTTCTAAACTCAGATGAATTTGAACACCATTTGTGCAACTCCAATTTCGCTTTTCCTAATACTAAATTTAAACATTTGTACACCTCTTCTAACTGCTTAAACGTTGACCACCCATATAAAACATCATCTACATAAGTATTTGAAATCAGCGCATCGGCTACTGCTGGATACTCCTTGTTACATAACAACCCTATTTCTGTTAAAACCCTAGTAGCTAAAAACGGAGCACAGTTTGTTCCATATGTCACTGTCGACAATTCAATACATCGAATTTGTTCGTCTGGTTTTTCCCTCCACAGAATATTTTGTAAATAGCACTGCTTTGGATTGATCAAAATTTGACGATACATCTTCTTAATATCTGCAACGAATACAACCTTATGCATTCGAAATTTACACAAAATATCATATAATTCTGGTTGTACCTGATACCCCTTTAGCATAACGTCATTCAGTGAGTACCCTGACGTACTTTTACTAGACGCATCAAACACTACTCTTAATTTGGTTGTCTCAGCTTGTTCTCGAATTATACAATGATGTGGTAGGAAAAACTTTCGTTCCCCTTTGGAATTAACTGTTACTACATTTACATACCTACCATGCCCTAAACTTACATACTCATCGATAAACTTTTTATATTCTTGATACAAATTAATATTGGATTGAAACCTCTTTTCTAATCCTCTAAATCTTTGATACGCCCTTGAATATGAATCTCCTAACTTCTTATTTCCGTCGACCTCTTTTAGTGGAATGTCTACCTGAAACCTCCCACTTTCTACCCGCTTTGTCGTGTCTTTAAATATTTTTTCAGCTAATTCTGCTTCTGCTGACCTCGTTTTACTCTCCGGAACATCCTCAGTTTCCCAAAATTTTACAATTAATCTATCTAAATCTACATTTTCCTCCTCCGATGAGGCCATTGCTTTTGTAAAAAACGAAACTGCATTTTCCTCGACTATCTTGCCTTCCCTTCCCGATGAACAACTATATCTACCTCCTCTTATCCATCCTAACTTTGTGTTTTGCATCATTGGTAGACCCTTCCCCAATGATATACATACTGGAATAATCACATCGAAATAACCATCAGCGCCTATTAACAAATCTACCTTTGGCGCAACATTAAATTCAGGATCAGCTAGTTCTACATCTAGCGGAATTTTCCAGTTATTTACATTAAATGTGAATTGTGGC